CGACTCAGTGAGGCTCCAACTCAAAAAAAAAAAAAAAAAGATTATTTTGAATTCTCTTTAAGAAATGGTGTAGATCTCCATTTCTTTGGGGTCAGTTGCTTAAGTTTTATTATTTTCCTTTGATTGTGTCATATTTGCCTGATTCTTCATTATCTGTGTAACTTTTTGTTGATGCCTGTGCTTTTGCAGGATTAAAACACCTCTTCTAGTCTTTACAGTCTGGTTTTGGCTGGTTAAGATCTTCTCCTATTAGTTCTCAGGCTGATGGAATTGCCTCCAGGATCACAGTTGAATGAGATTGCAGCTGGGTCATGTGGCTGCTACTAGGTCCACAGTGGTGTTCATGGTTGGTAGGACTCTTTTTTTTTTTGAGTTGGAGTCTCACTCTGTCGCCCAGACTGGAGTGCAGTGGCTGCTCCCGGCCACCGCAGCCTCGAACTGCTGGGCTCCGGCGATCCTTCCTCCTCAGCCTTCCAAGTAGCCAGAATTACAGGCATGTGCTACCATGCCCGGCTGATTTTTTGATTTATTGTAGAGATGAGGTCTCGCTGCCCAGGCGGGTCTCGAACCCGCGGACTCAGGCAATCCACTCACCTCAGCCTCCCAAAGGCGCGGGATTACAGGCTGAGCCACCGAGCCCAGCAGTGGGACTCTTATCAGGGTTTCTAGCAAGGATAGATCCTGCCTGGTTCCTGGGTGGACTGGACTGTTGCCAGTACTTAATCTGTAGGGCTGATGCTGGGATAAGGGTCTGCACCAGGGTCTGTAGATGGCAGGCCTGTCTCTAGGTATGCAGGCAAGTGTGGCTTCCTTTGGATCCCTGGAAAGGCTTCCACTGGATCACTGGATAGGTTCCTGAGCAGGCAGTACTGTCCCGGTCTATGTCTGAGAGGTGCTAGATTAGAGTTGTAGGGCTACTTCAGAGCCTACAGCTGAGACTGAAATCTTTACAAGCATATATCCACATAGAACCCTGGCCAGGCAGCGCTGCTCTCTGTCTATAGCAGAGGAGGGCTATGCTGAGATTCAGGGTTGTTTCAAGATCTGCTATGGGACTAAGGTCTGTGAGCCTGTCTTTTGTGGCACTATTTTGTGTGACTTCAGGGCTTCTTGGTGGATGATTTTGATAGCAGGAATACGGCCAGACAGGGCCAGTAGCAGAGTGCACAGGGCTGTGGGGTTATTTCTAGTCTGAAGCTGGGACCATGGTTGGTTCTGTCACCTATGTGCAGAGCTATCCTCTTAAAATGACTGTCCTAGGGCTTAGGCTCCATCAGTGTTTCACAGACTCATACCTGAATCCCAAGGCTCTCAGAAGGACATTTCTGTCTGTGAAATGATGTTGCTGGTAGGTGACATGAGTGGGGATCTCTTGTCCCTCCGTCTTGCTGACATCACTCCTCTTTTCATTTTTTTGGTAGTATCTGTTGGAGCACAAAAGTTTTAAACGTTGATGAAGTTAATTTAACTAATTTTTTCTTTCATTGCTCATGCTTCTAAGTGTTATATCTCAGGAATCTTTGCCTAATCCAAGGTCATATAGATTTCCTTCTATGTTTTCTTCAAATAGTTTTAGAATATGCTTTTAAGTTTAAGTCTGTGATCCATTGGAGCTAATTTTGGGATATGTTGTAAGAGGAGGTCCAACATTGTTTTATACATGGATAACCAGTTGTCTCAGCACCATTTGTTGAAGAGTTCTTTATGTATTCTAAACACAGTGAACCCTTAAATGTTATTCCATCAGATTTTCTACCTGATAAGATGTGAGCATTAAGTGAGATAACATATATGAAAGTGCCAAACGTCATGTCGGGCACACAGCTGGCTCTCAACAAGGCCTTGGCAGTGTTGTTGAAAACCAATTGACCATAAATGTGAGGGCTTATTTTTAGACTTTCAGTTCTATTTCGTTGATCTATTTGTCTTTCCTTATGCCAGTTCCACATGTCTTCCTAATTGGAACTTTGTAGTAAGTTTGGATATTGGAAAGTGTGAATACTCCAACTCTGTCCTTCCTTTTCAAGATTGGCTATTCAAGATTGTCTTGGCTATTCTGGATCCCTTGCATTTCCATATGAATTTTAGTTTTGGCTTGAAAATGTCTACCAAAAAGCCAGGTGAGATTTTCTATGGATTCTTGAATTTGCGAGTCACTTTGCAGAGTTCTGCCATCTTAACAATGTTGCCTTCTGATCCGTGAAAATGGGTATTTTTCCATTTATGTAGGTCTTTAATTTTTTCAGTAATATTTTACAGTCTTCAGAATACTAGTTTTTCATTTATTTTGTTAAATCTAGTCTTAAGTATTTTATTATTTTTGATGCTATTATAAATGTGGAATTGTTGTCTTAGGTTTGTTTTCTGTTTGTTGCTAGTAAGTAGAAATACAGTTGACTTTTGCATGTTGATCTTGTCCCCTGCAATTTGGATGAGCTAATTTATTAGTTCTATAGTTTTTCAGCGGATTTCTTGATGTTTTCTACATATATAAAATCATGCCATCTATAAATAAGGGTAGTTTTGTACTTTCTCTTCAATCTGGATTTTTTTTTACTGAGGCTTCCTTTTAAATATGTTGGCAAATTAAAAGAACCACCATTTTCTGAAAGTAAGTAAATGAATGGGATTCACAATAGTTATATTCAGTTGTCCTTGCCAACTATGCTGTTTTTCACATTATTAATTTTTTGTTAAGCATATATAAACTGTCTATTGATATATGTCAATTCCAAGTAGTTATTGAATTGCAAAAGATTTCTTTTGCTAGTTTTGATTTTTGTTAATGTATTTTAAAATTTTAGGGGAAATCCAGAATACACATAGGAAAAATTCAGATTATTAACTCTTAGATTAACAATTAAAGTTGGCCGGGCTCGGTGGCTCAGCCTATATAATCCCAGCACTTTGGGGAGGCTGAGGTGAGTGGATTGCCTGAGCCCACGGGTTCGAGACTAGCCCAGGCAACTTGGCAAGACCGCATCTCTGCAATAAATAAAAAATTAGCTGGACATGGTAGTGCACGCCTGTATTTCCAACTACTTGGAAGGCTGAGGTGAAAGGATCGCTGGAGACCCGCAGGTCGATGCTAGGGTGGCGGTGAGCCTGCCACTGCACTCCAGGCTGGGAGACAGAGTGAGACTCCAATTCAAAAAAAAAAAAAAGAACAATTAAGGTTTTTTTTATTAGAATTTGTTTCCCCTCCTGGGAATATACCCAGAAGAATATAAATTGTTCTACAAAAAAGACACCTGCACACACATGTTTATTGCTGCACTATTCACAATAGCTAAAACATGGAACCAACTGTACTGCCCATTGAAAGTAGAATGGATAAAGAAAATGTGGTACATATACATAAGGCAGCATTGTGCAGCCACAAAGAAGAACAAAATCATGGGCTTCACAGCAAACTGAATGGGGTTGGAGACCATCATACTAAGTAATCTATCACAGAAACAAAGAACTGAATACAACATGTTCTCACTCATAAGTGGGACCTCAACAATAATCACATGAACACAGGGGAAAGATTGGCAGTCACTGGGCACTCTAGGGGAGGAGAGTGGGGGACATGTGACAACATAAAGGGTACCAGGTCTACTACCAGGGGAATGAGGGCCAGTTAGAAGTCTGAACTTCACCTGCATGCAGCCTACATATGTAGTTAATCCTCACTTGTACTCCACTGTCTGTAATAAAATACAAAAAAAGTGATTGCTTACATATATCCTGAGTCACATATTTGACTATCTTGTTTTTATTTTTCATAACTATTTTAAAACTAGAGCTAAGCTAGGCATGGTGGCATGTGCCTATTGCCCCAGTTACTTAGGAGGCTGAGGTGAGAGTTTTGCTGGAGGCCAGGAGTTCAAGGCTGTGGTGCATTATGATGATTTTATCTGTGAATAGCTGCTGCACTCCACCCTGGCCAACATAGCAAGATCCCATCTCTAAATAAATTAATTTATGAAATTCTAGTGTATGTCATTCTAAAGCTCAGTCTAGGTTGAAAATTTAAATAGTATAAAAATAATGAAGTAGCTTTTTAATTGTCACTAATGTATTAAAGTTATTATGTGAAATAATTATTTTGTTGGCAAATATTGAATCAACTGAATTATTAGGATTAAAAAATCATTTTGAACTTTGACAGGCTTGAGCATTATTTCTAGGTTCCACTTATGAATACAACCAAGGAAATTTTGAATCATGGTTTTATGTGCAATCTACTCTAAATATTGCTTCGTTTTTCCTCCTTGGACTTTGTTAAGATCCTTTCAGCAAAAATAATAGAATGATCATCTAGATAGATAAAGCAACCAAAGTACAGAAAAGAAGAACTCAATAGTAAGGCATTAAGACACGAAAAGCAATGTGGCTGGTGAACATACTGTTGCTAACAAGAGGATAAAAATAGTCATGTTCCTGAGATATTGCCCAGTTTTTCTTTCCATTATATTACAAGGAACTTTGTGGAAGAAAAAAAGAAGGGGAGGAGAAGTTGTAATCAGGACTAAAAATGAAATGCAATCTTTCTGGATGAGATTTGAAAAGCATCTATGTTGAGAAGCTTAGTTTGTAATATATTAAATTCAAAATATTTGTACTGTTTTCATCAAATTTTATTCTCTAGTATTGCTTTTTTCTGTTACATCCTATGCCTTGGCCATTATATCTAGTCCATAAATAACAGATGTTTAGAATATCAGAGGTTTTAAAAATTATTATTAGCCTGAATAAGAAAGCATCAAACTGACATGAGAGTCCTATTGTATCTTATAAAGTAAGCAACATCAGGGTCATATTTAACACTGTTCCTCTCTACTAGCATGCATATTGGAAATAGTATACTCTTTCAAGTCCACAGAGTCTATTTCTTAGTTACGTTAACAAATACGATAAGTAATCTTATTATCTATGGGGAATTTTTTCTTTAGCATAACTGTGAGGAAGTTTTATGCTAATGCTGGTTTGTTTTGCTATTTTTTATTCCTCAGATTCTGCTGGTAGACTTAACCCTGGGAGAATTGCTTATATTTCTTCGAAGAGCTGCTGTATCCCAGATGAGAGTTATGGCTGCCTGTCTTCAAACATTCCTGCGTTAGAATTGATGGCTCTGTATGTGGCAGCGGCCATGCATGATTATGATCACCCAGGGAGGACAAATGCATTTCTAGTGGCTACAAATGCCCCTCAGGTAGGAAATACTTTTTCAGAAAACTTAAAGAGTAATTCTAAAAATTTCCAACCATTCTGCCTTCATAAAGTGTTTATAAATTTATAAATGTATGCCTTTATAAAGTGTTCTTTGACTGAATCATATGGCCTTTCCCTCTGACTTTGAGACCCTACTTTTTTTTTTGCTAAACTTAAGCAACAAAAATTTATTCTCTCACAGTTCTGGAGGCTGGAAGTCTGAGATCTAGGTGTCAGCAAGGTTGGTTTCTTCTGAGGGACAATCTAGTCCTTCCCTCTTCCTAGTTTCTGGTGTTTGGCTGGTAATCTTTGGCATTCCTTGGCTTGTAGACACATCCCCAGAGACCCTGTATTTAATTAGTTGGGGAATAATATATGGCATTGACATGATGTGTTTTAGGAAATTAGGGGAAAAAATCACCTTCAACTAGAAAATACTAAATAGTTCTTGAAATAACAGCTTATTGTTTTATGAAAGTCTGGAGTCATTGCTATTAATATTTGTCTTTGATCAAATTGACAAAACTCTGTGTCTAAGATATATACTCCTCCTGGTTAGGTCCATGGTATGGATAAAAGCTGTAATGCTTGAGAACTGTTGGTCTTTTTGCTGCTCCCATTTTTCCCCTAAGATTTGCCTTAATATTCAGACCCTAAATCTCTTGGGCCTAAATATATTCGTGTATGTAAAAGTTTTTCTGGTATATTATTATTTTTGTATTCAGGACAGCTGATAAGATATAAAATTCCTTAAGGGCCACAATTTGCAAAAAGAGTCAGGCATTCCCAGCAGATGGCTACTATAATTGCAATAGCTTTAAACATTTAGACAAAATACAGATCAGGATGATAACTAAACTCATGCATTTGTCTCCTTTTCTTCCTAAGAATTCATTAAATTGATAGTAAGGTTTGAAGCTCATTACAACAGAGGAGAATAAGTGGAAGGGTATTATTACCAGTACATCAAAAAATCTGGAAAATGAAAAACAGATGGATGAATATTGAACAGTAAACAAAAATATAATATAAGGGGGCCATGGTTTTAAGTAAAATTTAGTGTGGTTGTGGGTTAAACAGAATTGACTGGTAGTGGGGCTTGTTTATGCCAGGGATTCATCAAATACCATCTGTATATTTCTAACCCCATGCCTCAAAAAGAGTTAGGTACTCCATGGTTGTTGTGAAAATCACCTCTTCACTTTATCTTCTGTTTTTAAACCTCAGCTCTGATTCTTTCATCTTCTGTAGCCATTTTCATTTTTTTTTTTTTTTTGAGTTGGAGTCTCACTCTGTTACCCAGACTGGAGTGCAGTGGCCGCTCCCAGCCACCGCAGCCTCGACCTGCTGGGCTCCAGCGATCCTTCAGCCTCAGCCTTCCAAGTAGCTGGAACTACAGGCATGCACTACCACGCCTGGCTAATTTTTTGATTTATTGTAGAGATGAGGTCTCGCCAAGTTGCCCAGGCGGGTCTCGAACCCGTGGGCTCAGGCAATCCACTCACTCAGCCTCCCAAAGCGCAGGATTATAGGCTGAGCTGCCGAGCCCGGCTCTGTAGCCATTTTCTATGTTTTTTTTTTCACCTCTATCTCTTTTATACACTAACTTTTTAAAATATAGAGAGTACATTCTCTTGAATCTCAAGCATGTGTGCGAGTAGGGAGGGATGCATATGTATATGTGTAAGTAGATGGAATAGGGGAAGTGTAAATGAGTTAAAAGGGCCATGTGATTCATTTATCCAGTGAAAAAATCACCTTTATTAATAGCTCTTGATTTTCACAGGCAACTTTCTGATGAATTTAAATCTAGTTATTGTTTCAGGAAAAACTATTTTCTAAGGAGCATATATTTCCTTATTTGCAGTACAGTTTTGCAAGAATCAGATGCCCATTCTCTCCAGCTTAACACATCATAATCTTTGAAAGTCCTAGTCATTTGTCAGTCACAGATCTGGGAAGTAGTGGAGTGGACTGGTCAGTAGTGAACAGTGGACAAAGCATTGAATTTAGATCAAGAGACCTGTATTTGATTTCTGGTTGTCCACTTATTAGCTATATGATTGGAGAGTTCAGCTACAAAACAAGATTAGTCTCTTTACTAGTCTCCTTGCACACATATCAGCCAGAGTGCCTCGGATGTGAGCTATATCACTCAGTCCCAAACTCTCCAGTGGCATTCATCTTCCTCTTAGTAAAAGACAAGGTCGTTAAAATGTTCTGCACGACCTTACATCACTTAGCCCCATGAATCCTCCTTTTTGTTCTTACTGAAGACCAGCCTTACTGGTCTCTGGCTATTTTCTTCTCTGTCATGGGCACACACCCTTCCAGAGAACCTTTGTACTTTCTGTCTCGCTGCCCATGTGGCTCTTTCCCTTTCCCTAGATATCAGTATGGTTCTTGTTATCATCTCCTTCTATCTAAAATTTCAAAATCCCCTTCCTAGAACTATTATGCTTCTTCCTTGCTTAATTTTTTTCCATAGCAATAATCATTTAGCTTACTATTTTTTAAATGTATTTTCTTGATTTTATATCTTTCTTCTGTGGAGTATAATATTTCATGAGGGCAGGGGTTTTTGTCTTTTATTCCATAATACCTAGAATAGTGCCTGGCACACAGAAGGTATTTAGTAAATATTTATTGAATGTTGAAGGATGCACTGTAGTAGTCTTAGCTTGTCTAAAATATATTCTGCTCTTCCCAATGTTACAAAATTTATGAGGCCTTTTTCAGCTAGTGTATGTGATATAAGGACTCTTGTGAAAGGTTGGGATTTATTTGTTTGTTTTTTTGTTTGTTTTAGAGAGCAGGATTTATTGAGAGGACAGAAAAGCTCCCACAATGGGAGGTGACCCGAAGGGGTTGCTCAGTTGGGGCTTATTTAATATGGTGAAGTAGGTTATAAAGTAAGTTATTTCATCTTTGGAAGCTTGTTGGGTCTAGTCAGGCCATGATTAGTGAATGACGTTTTAGTTCCACTGTTTTATAGAGAGACAGTAGTATATTTTACCACCAACTGGATCGAGCATTCTTACCATTCTCATGGTAAGGAAAATGTGCTGGAAAGATAAAGGAGGATTCTTGCCATGAAAGAAGGTGAGGCATGTGATCATGTATCACCTGGAGGGATGTCAGCATTAATAAGATTCTGAGAGATTTCTGAGCTATTTTCAAATTAAAAATTGGCTGAAAGATGGAAGTTGGTACTTGATATGTTGGCCTTTCCAGAATATTTTGATGAGATTTTGAGTAAAAGGAAACAAATTTTGGGGTTGAGATTTGTAAATCTGATTTGTCTCCCAAAATACAGATCAAGATGATAACTACACTCATGCATTTGTCTCCTCTTTTTCCGGAGAATTCATTAAAATGATAGTAGGATATGAAGCTTATTACAACAAAGAGGAATAAGTGGAAGGGTATTATCACCAGTACATCAGAAAATCTGGAAAATGAAAAACAGATGGATGACTATTGAATTATAAACAAAAGTATAATATAAGGGGGCCACAGCATAGCTGGAACCCCAGAGAAGCATCTGATGTCATTTGCTCCTGCTTTTTCTCCCTGCACACACATACATATGTGTGTGTACACACACGTGGATGTGCGCACACACACGCACACACACATACACACACACATCTTTAAGCAGAGTAGCCATAACCCTGTATTTACCTTGATCTCCAGGTAACTCATCTGAACTCATCTCTTAGATATAGAAAGAAATTTCCTGGAGAGAATTAGAATTACTAGAGTGGGTGTTAGTTCTCCAGAGCAAATCTTTCTCACTCTGGAAATTTAATAACTGGCACCAATCTAGTTTCTAAAAGGAAAACTTGCTAGGTAGCAAACCCTATCCATATTCACAGAGTTCCTACTCATCCTTTTCAAGGGTAGAGACTCAGCAATAAAACATACATAACTGCAGAGGGAAGTTACACCTGGAATTTATTTTTAAAATATTAACAAATAATCAAGAATCATCAGACATAGCATCAACAAGAAGCTTGGAAAGAAAACTCTTACGATGAGAAGAATAACTGACCACAGAGGAAAAAGATAATCAAGGCAATAGAAAAGCATTTAATTTTTTTTTTAAAGTGTTCTCAGGGAATTTGAAAAATATTGCATCCATAAAATAACAACAGGAACCATTAAAGGAAACATCAGAGAGCAAGTTAGAGCTTTTAGAAACTAAAAAATATTACAGCAGAAATTTTTTTTTTTTTTTTTTGAGTTGGAGTCTCACTCTGTCGCCCAGACTGGAGTGCAAGTGGCTGCTTCCGGACACCGCAGCCTCAACCTG